ATTCAAGAAAGAAGGCGAATTATTGGTTTACAATACATTATAGCTTGTAGTAATATATCTATTGGAAGACAATTATCTTAGGAAACAGATTCAATTATATTATAACAAGGATGCTACTACTACATGTATATATAAAATAATAGAATTAAAATTCACTATAGAAAATAATATTATATATTTTCACGGAAAAGTATATATTCCAAATCAAATGATTAAAGAATTTGTGACAGAATAATATGAATTGTTGGTATATAGATATTAAAGGATTATAAGGATATTTATAAGAATATGAGAAATCAATTACTTTTCACAAATGAAAACGATAATTAAAGAAGTTGTTGGAAATTGTGACACCTATATACGAAATAAGTCATTATAATATATGCTATATAGTCAACTCCAAACCCTAAATATACCTTCTTAGTTATAAAAGTTTATTATATAGGACTTTATAATTAAATTATTATTCTTAAAAGATTTTACTATAAGTATTAAATACGATATAATATTTAATATAATAGATAGGCTAACGAAATTCATATAACTTATATAATATTATTTAAGGAAATATAGAATGTTAAGCAATTAGTATATATATTTCTTAGGATTATAGTAAATATATATAGAGTATTAAATAAAATAATCTCAAATCAAAACAAACTTTTCATCTCAAAATTCTGAATTATTTTATTAGTACTTATAAATATCAAAAAAAAAGCTATTAATATCTTTCTATTCACAAATAAATAGTTAAATAGAGAGGATTAATTAGATAATGAAAGTATATCTTAAATGCTATATAAATTATTAATAAGATAATTAAATAAAACTATTATTTATAATATAATTTGTATATAATATATCAGAAATGAAAACTACAAAGATAATACTAATATGAGCGAACTTTGAGTTTAATTCTAAAATATATTGAATATTTATATTATAAGAAGTTAATGCCAAATTAGTAATAATACAAATCGAACAACTGAAAGATCTTTAAAAACAACTAACTCTTAATTTAAGATTTATATCTTTTAAAATAGTAGTGTACTATAATATAAAATATAATATGAAATTTATATTTAAAAAGAGGAATAAAGTTTATTTACTATGATATAATATTGAAATCAAAAGACCAAGTAATAAACTCGATCATAAGAAACTAGAATTATTTAAGATTGATAAGGTAATAGGAATGATTAATTATCAATTGAAATTACTAGATATAATGAATATTCATTTAATATTCCATATATTCTTATTCAAATCAGTATTATTAGAAGTGCCAAGTGTGTTATTTATGGAAATCGAATTAGTTAATTCAGAAGCTATATATGATGTTGAAACAATACTAGATTGTAAATATATCAAAAGTAAAGTTAAATATTTAATCGAATAATTGAATTATTTATATTCGAAAAATATATAGGAATTTAAGAAGGATTTTAACTATTCTGAAAAACTATAGGTATTTTATCTAAAGTATTTACATCTATTAATAAAGCCTTAATCTCGATATTAAACAATACAGATAATAAGGAATCAAAGAAATTAAAGGAAAAAGAATTATTAGAAACAGACATAATGTTACGGGAGCTGCCTCTAGGGTCACGTGGAAGTGTCTAGAGTTCTCTCGAGGTGGTTTAGACTAGACTTCAAGTAGGAATTCAATAAGGTTGTAACTGGTTGCAATTCTCGTAACTATAGTAATGAAACTAATGATTGTTCTTGAGCACGAAGCTCTATATTGTAATGAAATCCCATTCCCTTATATAGACCTTCGTTCTCTGTTGTCCCACTGCTTCCCACTGTGTCCCACTGGGCCTTACTCAGTGGGACTCAGTGGGACACCTTGGTCAGGTGATATTTTAATCAATCTAGTCATGTGACGACCTCGGTCGTAACACATAACTACAGTATTTATTCTCTCCTTTTCTAATTTCTTTTTTTTAGCTTTCTTTTTTTTTAATTTTTAATTTTCTTTAATTAGATTAAGCTTTTTTAATGTACAAAGATCATAACGAATTATCTTCTTCTTATACTTACAAAGGAATTCTTGTTGATGATGTAGATAAAGAATTCGAGCTGTTAGTTTTTAGGATTTAGTAGAAAGAACTTGTAACTCAACAAAAACCTTCTCCTTTTTCAAACGGAATTGCTTTTACTATTGTTTTAGAGAATCATATTAAAAAGACATTATAAGCCCAGGATAATAACGATCTTTTTTAAAACGAATATATATAGAATAACATTTCGATAACTCTTCATTCATTAAACAATTATAATTAGTTTGAAGATATAAAATATAAGGCTCACACTTACTACTAGAACAAGTGATATAAGTAAACAAAATACAGGATTATAAACAAAGATTGTTTGTATAGAAGGTATAATGAAAAGAAATATTATATTTATTTAAAATTATTGAAATAGGTGGATATATTATTATAAACATTTAGGATAAGCATTAAACTAAAAAGAGAATAGTATTATAACGAATTAATAATAGTGGCCAGATTATAGGCATTTAGATTATAATAGTATTATAGGCCTTAGTAATTCAGCTACAATATACTGAGGAATATTAAGCATTTAACGAAAGCCTTAGGCATGTATATAGTATTAATTATAAAAAAAACCCAAATTACAGGATGTAAACCTTAGAATAGTATATTCTAAAAGAAATGAAATTAAGGAATAGAAATAGGTTTGGCTAGGATTAATAATAGTCTAGGGAAATAGTTTTAGAATAAAAAGATAGTCAGGATATTAAAAGTTATAGGATAAGTATTATATAAAAGAAAAATAATTCGATTTATTAAATAAACTTGTTAATATAACTTTAGAATAAAGGTTTATATAGGAAATAAATTTCATTATAATATAGAGCTTTGTACTCAAGAACAATTATTAATTTCATTATTATAATTACAAGAATTACAATTAACTATAACCTTATTAAATTCCTACTTAAAGTTTAGTTTAAACCATCTTAATGTTACGGAGGTACCCGCACCGCAACATGGATTATAAGATAAACCTAAGGCCTTGGTGTTGGGACCTACGGAAACAGCGCTGTAGGGACAATCGGCTAGAGAGCACAGGTTAGATAAGCGGTAGCATCATTATAGATCACGGGATGGACATCACGTGATCAGGAAACCGACTTGTCGAAATCGGCTTTACGGTAATCGACTTGTCGATTCATGAGGTACGAAGATCTATATAAGGGAATGAGTTTCATTATAATGTAGAGCTTCGTGCTCAAGAACAATCATTAGTTTCATTACTATAGTTACGAGAATTGCAACCAGTTACAACCTTATTGAATTCCTACTTGAAGTCTAGTCTAAACCACCTCGAGAGATCTCTAGACACTTCCACGTGACCCTAGAGGCAGCTCCCGTAACACTTAAGAGATCTCTAGACATTTCCACGTGATCCTAGAGGCAGCTCCCGTAACAGTTATATATCTTTATTATTAAAGAATGAATTTACATATATATACTATAAAGGAAAGCGATTTACTAAAACTAATAGAATTAGATCCAAAGTAGGGGGTAAAGTTTAATTAAATATTGAATTTGAGTGTACAGGTGGAACTTAATATTTAGAAAGCAGATTGAAATTTAATAACGCTAATAATACTTTTTTCATTGTAAAATATACTTTCTAAATTACTTGATTTATAGTAGCTCTTTCTTAATAATCTTAATAAAACTTTATCTATTTTATAATACTATTCTTAAAACTTTTAAGAAAAAAGATATAATTATAAATTATCTTATATTTTTAATATCAAATTGAAAAATAATTATTTATCAAATTAGTAAATATAAAATCAATTTGTTTATTCTTATTAAATATTTTATTATTTATAATTATAAAATATATCATTGATTTAAAATATAATATATATATAAAATAATAAATCTATTTTTTTACTTATTATATTCATTATAAATATATTTTTATATCTTTATATTTTAAAGTTATAATAATGAATTTATAAATATGTAAAGTTTTCTAAACCAAATTTAAAATAATTATAAATATATTAGCAACTTTTTATCAAACTTTTTATTACAAAATCAATTAAACAATTAATATATTAACAATAACTCTTCTTCTTAATATAAAAATAATATTATTCAAAAGTTATTAATTCAAAAAATATTAAAATATTAATTAATTACATTTCATATATTATTTGTAACTATTACATTTATTAATAATATTTAATCTATTTTGATTTACTTTTTAATCTTTAATGTTTGTTATATAGAGTATTCGAACTTTTCTTAGTCAATAAGTTTCCAGTTATAAACCGTGTTTTAAATCCTGTATGTTAGGGAAGGGGCTAGAATGGTTTCAAAATATGAAGCTTTTTGAATATTTGAAGTTGTTTAGATGTTTCAATTTTTGTAATAGATGAAGTTGTTAAAATATATCCGTTGAGCTGAATATATTAAAAAGTTTTATTATACAAGAGAACTTGAATAGATCGAATTATTTGAATATTTGAAATCGTTTGAATATATGAGATAATTTGAGTTTATGAAATGAAATGAAAGATTGAAATACTGAAATGATTTGAAAACATAAAGATAGCTTGAATACATAAAATAAAGTACTCTAAATAAATGAAATGATTTCAATAAACGAGACAATCTGAATAGTTTGAATACATGAATTATTTTGAACATACAAAATCATTTGAATGTATCAAATCATTTCAATGTCCAGGGTCAAATTAATGTACAGAATGATGTGAAAGTCAAAATCGTGTGATTCTCGCTAAGCATCAATGCAAAAGGGGAAGGAACAATGACCATGGTTGCTGCACACAAATGAGTAAAGTTATCTGGATACAGAAGGAGCAATGAAGAATAGAAGTTTTAGACTGTTGCTGCACAATATTCTGCTTCGACTTCACTTGAGATTAAGCAGAAGCATCAGAACCACCAGCAGAATCATCACCAAGACCAACAACAGCAACAATGTATATCGTGATTGATATCATCATCGCCGTTATCGTCCCTTGTTTCGTTTGTTCTATTTTGGTTGTTATTTCGGATTGCTCCAAATGGGATCGTTTGTCTGCTGTGCAATTCGGCATAGCGAGTTGTCTGGTCGGAATAAATATAGTCCTCTTTGTCCATCACTCAACACCTACGGTGGACGGATTGATGACTGCCGATTTGGCATTTCTGGTCAACGGGACCTTTTTTCAAGTTGTTTTTTGGGTTTCTGAATGTTGGGACTTTGAGAGTAAATCCTGGTCCTACGGGACTCTTGTAGTGGGATTGGTCAGTGATAGTTTGGCGATAGCCAATACGTCATGTGCCATCAGAAACAGCGGATGGACCCGTGGAAATATGTTCGCCTTTTCGCTGTGCTGTTTGGATCTTAGTTTGCCCATAATTTTGCTTATGTATGAATTGTGCCGAACCGAGGCGTGGCCTCGTATCACGAGCCTTCGGACAGATAAGAGGAAGAAGATGAAGCATTCGAGAAAACCATCAACCGGATCACCATGATTGGTGAAGAGATAGGAAGGGGGTGGAGGGGATGAAAGCGAAGAACGACGATGAAATATTCTTAATCCGCTCGTCGTCTGGAAAGTTTCTAACCAGTCCCACAGTATTAGTAGGGGTTCTTCCGAACTGCTGTGGGTGTCTGGGGTGGACCGACCAGGCACGAGTAGCCCAAGAAGAGTTTGGCCTTCGCGTGGCCTTGGGCGTCAGTATTCGAGGACGGACAAATCCAAATCCAAACCGACCTCGAAGAAGCTAATAAATTCAACAAACCAACAAATCAAGTACAACATATCGAATATTGTATCATCGTATCGTAATCATCATCGTCATCATCATCGTCATCATCATCATCATCATCGTCGGAACTCAAAGAAAGGAACACAAATGTGTGTGCACTGTCTTGACTGGAAGTCAAGGAAGAATTTCGTGTTATTCTTACATCGAAATTGCTCAATGTCGTAATTTTCATTCGGAAATTCGGAAAATTTGAAGTTTTAAAAACATTCCAAGCATTCAGATTTGATTCACAGTCCGGCGGAACTGCATCAGACTTGGTCTCAGCGCATTCAAATCAAAGCAAAAGTAGGAGCATAGAAGGAGGGACGGGGAGCATGAGTTTGTATAGGAAATTGTACAGATACAATGGTGTGGATTATCGGAGGCCCATTGAAGCACGATTAGGGTTGTGGGGAGACTAGACGTGGCACTAAACCTAGCTCCTCGAGTAAATTGACGATCAGATATAAAGGACAACTCTCCCACACACCGAGGAAAGCATACGACATACCTGTTCTTCTTTTCTGAAAAACCCCTACTCTTTTTCGAGTTCGCACAACGACCGCACAAATGTATTTCTCTATAATCGAACCTAAGGACAAATTTCCTCGTGTCCCAAACGCTCTTGTATTCATTATCTACCGATTATTACCCATTTTCTGCCTTACCACATTCGCATGCTGGTTCTTTCAGAGAGACAGTTTTTTTGTCAGTGTTTGGGATGCTTACTGGATGTGTCTCTGGATGTTCACGACGATTGTGAGCTGTGGTGCCGGTAGCTGCAGTGGTAAAAATCTTACGAGGGAGGGAGTAATTGGTTTTCACGGTTCTATCTTATCCAAAGACTTCTCTCCGTCTGAAAAGCTTTCTCAGGTTCGACTGCTTCTCGAATCCTATGATGAAAGTATTAGTCCCAACTTTCCTTTTGGATTCCCTAGGAAGTCATGGACAGCGGAACGAAGAAAGAGGGAAATTCAGTTCCAAACAGAACGCTTCGCATTTTGTCTGTCTGGTTCGCGACAAGGAATCCCGAATTTATCATCTCTTCGTGAACACCTCTATTTGTACTTGATGTGGTCGGTGACATATTGCCTAATTATTCGTGTTTTCCGCCCCGAAATTAGAAGCTGGGACCATTTCCTTGGGTACTTGACATTTGGAAAGATTCACCATATTCTATGTTTCGTCTGCATCCCAATTCTGCTTGGTCGCTTCAGTTTTCAATATGGTAAGTGGATTGACTGGAATGTAACAAAGTTGGGCTGGGCCGTCAAATATGTTCGTCACTACTGCGGGAGTATTGATTACGAAAGGGCCACCGAGAGCAAGCGTACAGAGTTGGAATGGTGGATTGAAGGGTTATTAAGGGACAATAGCGATTCTTTTGCGCTGGCGGAAGAGAGAAGACGAACCATTATCGCTCCTATACAAAGGATGATTCGCGAGAACACGTTTTGCGAGGAACTTGCAGTGGCCAGTCATGTAAGATCACATAAGAGGCGTGAAATGGAGAATCGAATATGTAGCGATTGTGAATCTGCACACTGTTGTCTATCGAAGAATGTTAAGCTGCAATAGTCTTTCTCTATCAGCAACGATAAGAGTCTCCAACCTATTCCTTTAATTTCGACAATGAAGCTACTCGGTACGACTAAAACTTCCGAGCCACTTACGTCGAAACCGAGATATATCAGTATCCCTAGCGTTTGGGCACCAAGAGCAAATCGAAACATCATCTTTACAATCTCGCTAGTATTGTTATTTGGTTCTCATTGTCTCATATTTTATTGTTGTATGGAATTACACTTTGGATCAACACCAGTTCTCAGCTTGATAAATCGTCCACTCTCCAGTTACTTCGGGTTCTACTCTTATTACCGCCCGCAACCATCACTTGCTACCCCCCACAGGAAAGCAATGATGGCACCTTAGAAGTTTTGTGGATGGACGAGACGACGAAAGAGTTATGAGGCAACAAAAACTACGGACGTAGGGCTTCTATACAAAAATTGGGCAGGAGATAAATTCACACGATCAATCCCAACGACCGGAGGGATTGAGTTAAACAGCCGCCACTTCTGTTGTGCTTTGGGGGATCTGGCCATTTAGGGATGATGCTGTTTTATTGGGATGTAAATGTAATGAGAGTAATGAAAGATATTATGGAAGATAACATAAATCAATAGAAACGTTGAAAAGCATTCTACACTGTTCAGATAAATGTTTGTCTGTGCTGACTCCACTTGGAATATCGCATAGACCGGAACATAAGGTATTGCATGGGAAGTACATCTACAGGTGAAGTGTACAGTAGGCGAAGAGTGAATGCCTTTCTGATGTTCTATAAAATCTCCACCGAGTGAATAAATCCAATCCAAACCTTACGACAACAAAACCCTGATTTCTCCTCCAGTTCTCGGATACAACATTCTCAAAGGTTCTCTCTCTCCATCCTCTTCACCCAAGCTCTCTTCTAACTCTTCATCGGTCTTTATCAGGCGCTCCTCCACCTTCTCAAAATCATCACAGAATCTCTCGGCTGCCTCTTCGGTAATTTGACGTACTAAGATACTATTTTGTAGATCTTTGAGATTTTCCATCGCATCCATCAATGCTGAAGGGAGGAAATCATCTAAGGTTTGAGAGGCTTGTATCAGGGACGTGGGTTGAAATACTGGGTGGTCTCGAATGTCCGTCGTGGAAGATATAGCTCGTAAGAGAGGTTGAAGAGCAGACTTTTCGAGGAAAAATGTGTATTGGTGATCTATGAGAGTGGCAGCGTGTTCTTCGATTGTGTCTTTGATTTCTGAAGCGCGGGAGATGGTGAAGTCGAAGGGAGCCAGAGTTGCTCGGGCGGATAGGAGGCAATTAATTGTGAAAATCGTGCTCCTTGGAGCTGGAAGATCCTTTGCAATATTTTCGCCGCCTTGCATGAAGGGGTCGAAAGCTTCGGAGAGAATGGGCTCAAAATCTGCTTCTCGAGCTTCGGGAGATGTGAAAGATGTTTCGTATGTTTTCATGATTGCAGTCAACTGTTTGAGACCTTCGTGGAGGAAATCAGGTGGACTGAGGTTAGGAGGAGCGACTTGGATTTCGGATTGTAGACTGGTGATATGATCGCGCATCAAAGCTCGGAATTGGCGTAGTGCAGATTCTTCGAGTGTTGCAAGAGATTCTAGGAGAACGGAATCACCCCCCAGTAATCTTTTGAATGTACCGCGGTAGAAATTCAACAGATTTGCTATCTTATATGCCATAATTGTCTCCTCGTGACTTTGTATCACCTGTCCAATTCTTTGACGAAGAATTCGTGCAACACCTGTGACATCCCGATCTACTAAATCATTGAGAGCTTTCAGACCATCAAAGTGACCAATCTCGTTCTCATTTTCGCCTATGCGATTCCAAGGCTCACTATCTAAACCAGCTTGTATCCCTTTTGCAATCTCATCGCCATCTGAGATAAATAGAACTTCGAGTGCTTCTCGTTCGCTTACCGTTGCTGAGTGGGTCCAAGCCAGCATATCACCAACGTAACGCAGCGGATCATGAGCCACTAGCTCGATTGGCTTTACTGAAGGGTCTTCTTCGCCACCAACGGTGGTCCCAGTCAGTGCAGTATAAAATCCATCAGAAAGTATATTTTCTCGTGCTTCAGCAAAGAAGTCGAGGCAACTTTGGAATAACGATGGTCGTTCTGCTAATACGCGAAGAGCGCGACGAATCGAAGAACTGATTTGTGGATTCTCCAGATTAAGAGTCTTAAACTCTCTCTGAATCCATCGATAGAGTTTCTGAAAAGCACCATTGAGATTCTTTGTAGTTTGTTCCATAATTTCCAGCCCTAACCGTTGATTCTCTGTGCCAAGTAAAATCTCACAATCATTTTGGATCTTCTTTGCTCTGTTCAGAATGGAGAAGAACTCATCATTTACAGGCTCGGCTGTTGAAGTGAGCATTGCAATATCATCTTCTGACATGATAAAATGTGCATTAAAAGCATTCAATAATTCTTGCTTTGCTTGCACTTGTTCCTTTTGCTTCATGAGCTCGGAAGCTTCCTGTATGACTGGAGCTGTTTCCTGATGAGCGGCTGAGATGTGCCGTTTCATTTCCTCACACCCTTGATTGAGAGTAGCAATGGTAAGACCAATGCGTTTAAGTTGCTAATGCTTGAAATGAGATGGGATTCTCAACAACAGAGGGGAGAAGCCTCATACCTCAGCTACATGACCAAATTCACGAATTATATCGCCATTACTCTCAATGACCTCCTTTTGAACATCTAATCTCAACTGTCGTCTTGTTTCGGCAGTGTTCTGTATATCTCGTTTGTCTAACAAGGACAGAGCATCTCTAATATCTGAATCGGCATAAGATGCTGAAAGGACACTCGTGACTTTTGAAGACAATGGATTGGTTCTTGATATTGAAGGTGTTCCAGGAGAATCAGTTCCATCGCTAAACCCCGAATATGATTGTTTTCGAGTAAAGTAATCGGCCGTCATGATTTTCAAATCCGAATTCAAACCCCGTTTCTTCAACTTTGCAGCAATTTTTAATATTCGCCGTTTTGTTTGTCTCGAACACAAGTGCTACGATACCTCATGGGTTGTAATGAAGCTAAACCATTTGAGGTTGATAAGAGAGCGGTCAGAGTGGCAGATAATCGAGTTGCCCGTATCGCATTGAGAGTGGGCGTCATTCATCATCCACCTACTACCTCGTGCTCTATATTTCAACCATCGACTTGAAACTATTATAACATTATTCAGCCGACTTGAAGATCTATTGACCGTATGGCTGGCTCCTTCCAGTAACGTGTCATATTTAATACCCTACCTAACTCACAATCACTCTCAAGGTCATTTCATTCCATTGACCGGATTCAGCATAAATCTACAAGACCGATAGCACCTTGCAATCTCGACTGGATATCAACAGGTCTATTTGGATTCGCAGCACAATCCTATGCATACTCGGCTCGGTGGATAGTTCTCACGATGATGACCTCCAACCTTATTTCACGGCTGCTGCCTTCGAATTCCCAAGCAAGATCGATATATGATTCATTACGTGCTCACGACGAAGTTTCCGAATCGGAAATAGATGTAGAGGAACGAGCGGCAATGGCACTCGACGAAGAGAACTTGAGATTTCACGATGACGAGTTGGGAAATCTGGCAGATGTGATCGGCGGTGAATCCGTCACAGAAAGTACAAAATACCTACCTGATCAACAACAACCAACACACAAGCCAGAATATGATCGCAAAGGAAAAGGTAAAGCAAGAGCACACCATTTCGCAGAATCGCCTAGATTACTTGCAGAAGATCCTGACGATGATGTGCCTGCTTCGTTGTTGATAGAGGGAGATAATCGTCATCCTGACCGGGAGGGTCCAGCCACTCGAGCAAGGCAGCCTGCGCTTCCGAAGAAAGCACACGCAATACCGAGACCATCAGCACAGCAGATAAAAGACGAGAGGGAGAGGGCTCATTGGGAGATGATGCAGGACCAGCAGAAATTACATCAAGATGACGCGCCCAGGACGATTGCTGTGTCGCATACACCACAAGCTATCCCTCGAAATACAGGAGTCTATTTGTCAGGTAGTCCAAAAGATAAAGCTATGTACCGGTGGGTCAACGTGACAAATCTGGACAATTTCATCAGGGATTTATACGATTATTTTGAAGGGGCAGGTATTTGGTGTATAGTTCTAGCCAAAGCCATCGATATCCTGTGAGTGAATCCTTTCGAAGTGAAGTAAAACCGGGCTAATTGATTTTTTGTTAGCACCCTTCTTTTTGTAACAATATTTACGACTTTCCTTACGCAATGTGTCGACTATAAGAAGATCTATCGTGGCAACGCTCGTAGCTTAAGTCAAGCGTTGGTCCCTCAATGCACAAAGAAGATATCCGGAATCTCGAATGTAGCAATTTGGCTAGTTTGTCTATTTGTTCTCTATAAGATATATCAGCTTTTGACGGATCTCCCGAGGCTTATGAGAATGCGTGACTTCTTTACTTATCTCCTTGAGATTCAGGATAGCAATATGCAGACCGTATCTTTTCAAGATGTTATAGGCAGGGTAATGGCGCTTCGAGACGCAAATCCTATGACTGTGGAAAGAATTTCGCCGAATAATCGAAAATTTGTCATGGGTACTCAATCAAAACAACGACTTGATGCTCATGATATAGCAAATCGTTTGATGAGGAAAGAAAATTACCTCATTGCTCTGGTTAACAAGGAAATTCTGGATCTGACTTTACCACTCCCTTTTTTGCAAGGTCGACAATTATTCTCGAAAACTCTACAGTGGAATCTGGAGTGGTGCATATTAGATTTCGTTTTCAATGACTATGGCCAGGTCAGGCAATTGATTCTGAAGGATTCTCATCGACGAGAGTTGAGCGATGGGTTGCGAAATAGGTTCCTCTTTGCCGGGTTGATGAACGTTATCTGTGCTCCCGTCATCGTCATATATGTGGTGATTGTGTATTTCTTTAAATATTTCAATGTAGGGTATATCCTATCCCTTGACGCATGAGATTTTGCTAATTCGACTTCTAGCAATATCATAAAAATCCTGCAGCACTTGGATCACGTGGTTATACGCCCCTAGCGGAGTGGAAATTCAGAGAATTTAATGAACTTCATCATCTCTTCAATAGACGGTTGAATATGTCCGACCCATTTGCGTCGCGCTATCTTAATCAGTTTCCGAATATCAAAACTGCCCATATGGCTAGATTTATAACTTTCGTTGCTGGAGCCGTTGTATCCGTTCTGATAGTTGCCACAGTTTGGGACTCTGAAGTCTTAGCTGGATTTGATATCACCTCAGAGAGGCCGGTCTTATTCTATCTAGGAGTGTTTGGATCAATTTGGGCTATCACAAATGGTATGATACCAAAAGAAAATGAGGTTTTTGATCCCGAATATGCACTCCGAAGTGTGATCGAATATACTCATTATATGCCAAGTCACTGGCAAGATCGACTCCACAGTGATGAGGTTAAGCAAGAGTTCTCCACACTGTATCAACTCAAGCTTGTGATTTTCTTCGAGGAGGTATTGAGTATTATAATTACCCCATTTTTGTTATGGTTCAGCTTGCCAAAGTGCGCCGAACAGATCATTGATTTCTTTAGAGAGTTCACCGTTCATGTGGATGGAGTTGGATACGTTTGCTCCTTTGCTGTTTTCGACTTCAAGAAGGGAGTTGGCAGTGCTCCATCGCGCGGTGTAGTCAAGACGGACGTGCGAGAAGATTATTATTCTACCAAACACGGAAAAATGGCGGCATCATACTATAATTTTCTCGACAATTATATGCTTAATCCAAAAACAGGCGTACCAGGGCATAATCCACCGGGTATGCGACAACAATTTCACCCTCCTCCTGCCTTTCCAGGTCTGATGTCTCCCTCGTCAGGTGCGGATTTGCAGAGCTCAAGGATGGGTCAGAGTGAAGTGAGACCAATGAATAGAGCACCCCGAACAACTCGATTCCCATCCAATACTACTGCTATGGGATCTCCCATGGCTTCTATTCTTTTGGATCCACGTCACCAGCCTTCAGCATCTGAAGTCGATGGTCGTAGCGCAAGAAGAACTTCCCGATCCCGATATCCAGCTCGGAGAGAGAACAATATAAGAGAGGAGCCGATGGAAGATGAAGATGAACTTGGTCGACCTGTTCTTCAACCTGGAAGGTCTTATGCCGTTGATGATACAGTCGCCAATCTGGGCGAATCAACTTGGGAAGTGTCTCCCGCAAATGATGATAATGATGGAAAGGATGACGAGGATGATGGCGATGGGACAGCGGGCGATGGTGTTTTGGGATTGGTATATCAATTTCAGAAGGCGCAAACAAATGGTAGACCAGGTGTTAGTATATGGTAGCGAGCATATGGGAGGAAGTATCTGGTGTTCAAGGTGTTTGGCGATAGGGAAGTATATGCATGATAATGATATTGATATTGGTCCGGGCTCAAGCCCCTGATTTGAAGCGAGCCACTTGGGATGTGTGCGTATTTTTTGAGAGTAATTTTGATATTATTAATTCATCAGTGACAAGTTTTTTTCCCAAAATGGTAGGCAAGTAAAGATGATGGATGCCATGTATTAAGATCAGTGTCGTTGAGAAATTGATTCAGAACAGTACAACATAGGTTTCATAACTGACATACCATATCGTAGATAATGATAATACAAGATTTCAGGTTATCCCAAACAATCCATCCGAATACGAAAATAACACCAGACAGACATTGGGATTAGAAAATCAAGCTTTCTTTTCCTTGCTGTCTACGATGCAATATAAGGTTAGGTTATATGTAAGTCGTCTCTATAATTGGAAGGTATCGATTTGTTCCAGATGGACCAGGGAGTACAGGATGGGAAATGGGAAATGGGAAATGCGATGGGCGAATGCAAATGCGGTGCATGGGGGAAATGGCATGATGGATGGGATGAGGAATTGTATTGGTATTGAGGATTGGGGAAATATCGTACGATGATGATGAGATGATGGGGTGGTGGTCAGGGATGTTTTTTTGAGATGAGATGGGAATCATAGGATAGGATAGGATAGGATGAGATTGCCGAGGGCGATGAGATAAGATAAGATGAGATAGATCTTGGGGCGGGGAAACCTCGGGATTGGCTTTGTGTTGTGTGGAGTTTGGTTATGGGAGATGTACAGGACAGGTGAGGTTTGCTGGATTGGAGTCTGGGTATGATTCTAGTACGTATCGAGTGCAATGCAATGCTCTCTCAGCCTACACACCTGGGTAGGACTTCCTCTGGTGAAACAAATAGCATGAAAGAACCATCGGATGCAAACATCAAGCAAACGAAATAGTTGGGTCAGCTTACCTACCCCTCCAATCGTCTTCATATTTCTATATAGGGCGGGTAACGTTCAACTCAATCATACGGCAGGTAAGGTGACTCATCTGTTGGTTCGCTAAGGGGTTATGCGTGATTATTTCCGCAAGTATTTCAGCTGAAGATTCGATGGACATGTGGATTTGTGGGGAGTGTTTCTTGCTAGAGATTGAATATATATATAAGTAGTTTGGTTGAGTGCAAGTGCTCGTTTTATCTTGTGGATTTCATTTGTGGGAGGAAGTGTGAATATTCTTATTTTCGTTGCTTGTCTACCGACCTAAAATATCACCGCTCTGAAAGAAATCTATCAATCATCAGCACAAATGGAGGAAGAGCCGGGCTATGTATTGGTTCGGGGCATGCACGCTTCGATACGGTGAGTACGATTCCGCGATCCTGATCCTTCATACAAGATTGTATGTAGAGGTATGAATCTTTACTGATCAATGAGTAGGCTCAATCTACAGCATTATCTCTGGAAAGATGGACTCGGGTATCTTTTGCACCCATCGATTCCTCCCCCGCCCCTAGAGACAAAGTATCGGATTGCGGATCTGGGAACTGGTACCGGGTATGTTATTTCGAACTGTGGTCTGTATGACAATTCGAAGCTTGCTCGAATTTCAATGTCTAATATCAGACCGCTTGCATAGAATTTGGCCCTTGGATCTCGCTCGGCAACTCCCTCCCACAGTTCAGGTATATGGATTCGACATCTCCCCCGCGCAATTTCCACACCCAAGTTACTTACCCTCGAATGTGAAATTACAAGTTCTGAATAGTCTCCAAGTTGATCCTCCTGAAGAGTTGTTAGAAAGTTTCGATATCGTGCATTTACGTCTTTGGCTTGGTGTCGTAATGAATGGGGACCCGAGTGCCATTCTTAGTCATGCGTTGAAATTGTTACGTACGTTTTTCTTTCGTTGTGAGGGAGAGGAGAAGAGTGACCGATGAATTGTTGTAGGACCGGGAGGATACATTCAGTGGAATGAAATTGATCCTAATCGGGGTATTGCTGAAGGACCAAATGGTGAAGAGTCTCCGCATGCCGTTAAGATCCTTATTGTGCAGGCAAATATCAAAGATCACAGGTATATCGTCGCATCTCTTATTATTTCCTTGTAGCTTCAGATTCCCGAAATCTGACTCCCATAGATGGATTCCGGCCCTTCCTAAACTATTTGAACAATATAATCTAGAGGATATTAAGGAGGACTTTGCATTCGAACAACCATGGCAGACCAAAATGGCAGGGGACTGTTCTTGTGCTGTTGTGCATGAGATGGCGAATAATGGGAGTCCGTTTATTGTGAAAAGTTTGGAGAGGGTGGGTGTGGATGTTCCGAAAGCGTATGAGGAGGTCGGTGGAGGCGCGAGACTTACGCAGCCGTTCTGTGTGACGGTTGGGAGGAAACCGATGAAGAAGACTGTCTGAGTTTTGGGTTTTGGATGGGATTAGGTAGAATGAATTCTATCGTGAAAATCCAATGATAGATACCTATTATATATTCATGAAAATCCGCCACACGAAGCGTTCTGGAAGGTCAAGCTCCCATGTCTCTGATGGTCGATGGTCATGTTAGCATGACAAATACTTCGCTTTACCACTTGAACAAGAATATAGTAAGATTACAAACAGCGGTGACTCGAAAGATGCTACAGAAAAGCATGATACGAATCTTAGATTCGATAGGTATGGTTCGCTCGTGATTACAGAAGAGGTAGAGAGCACGTTGATTATTAGAAATCTGACGAGAAATTTGACAGGATGGAGTTACCCTGTGCTAATTGGACGTTTTTCACTCACAAACCTGTGACCATGGTTTTCACTCAGGGAAGCCTTTGGCATCTGCATATACAGAAGACTTCTCTGCATATGAATAAAGGAATTGGTTTGCATTGCTGCCATGTGCCAGGCATTTCCATTTGACACAATGCTCGGGACAACGCAATCCAGTGGTTAGAGGTTCCCTACACAGTACTGAGCAAGAAAAGAACTTTCTAACTTAAGCTTACGGACAACACAATTTCTCGGACCGACCAAACACGGGATCTTCTGAATAGCATGAATATCACGTGGCTGGGTAGTATTCAGGGATCGTGCTTGGATTTGCTGCGCGCTTGCGCCTCTGACCGTTGTCTTTCTGCCGGTAATTGTATGTTCCTTTCATCCACACCTTGTTTGATGCGAACTGGATAGATGCGCGAGCTACGATAAGGGGAAATGCCCTAGGATTATCCAGATAGATAGATGGTGGGAGTGATTGAAATATCTCATAAATTTAAATTGTAACTTATGGCTAATCTCTATAGACGTATGTAATAGGAGTAACAGAGCATTAGACAGCCATGCACCGGATAACCGGATCGCTTCACGATTAGATTAGATGACTGTCTAGATGGTTATCTAGATGATTTAGGTCGGTTCTAGAAAAGAGACAGAAGGGTCCGCCTGATACCGAGGTTCCTATAATATCTACATAGCCGCAAGACGCGAATGCTGTTTGATTAACTTCCAGGTCATCTTTCTTGTCAGACTAATAAGTGGTAACTCCGTGGAACTGCTCAAGAAGCTTTCAGCCAACGGTGGGCAAGACAATAAGCAGAGAGTTCCGATCAAAGGCTGTAAAGCTGCGAAAGCGGAGGCGGAATATAACAAAGAATGGGAATTTTCAATGGCGATACGTAATACTCAAATATATATTATCACTCAATTGTTCTTTACCTAAGTTATGTAAATCAATGATTTTGAGGATTTCGATATGTAATCTTAACGAAAGACTTTCTCCAATTCGACCAAGTACTGACAGAGAGTTTTCTTACTTCATGGTACAAACATTTTTATCTAACTTTTCGTTGTGATCGTCTACTAACCTTAGGTACTTTGCTGTTTGCTTCCAAAGATCCAGCCAATTCCAACAAAGTTCCTTTGAGGTTTCTTCTTTTTTCCCCTTCCATCACTCTGTACCGTCTTTTGATTCCATAAAAGCAATCAAGCAAGCAAGCAATCAAGCTGTTTCATCTCTGTACAAAGCTCTAGATACCTCGGTCCCGATTTTGTTCCAAAGAAACCCTGTTCAATTCGTATCTCCGATCTTTGGGGGGAAACAAAAACACAGACAGCATCACCACTTTTTTATTTTGCTTTCAACTAAAAATCGATATCTACCAATCAACCCGCCACCCCTCTTCTCTTCCTCCCCCCTCAACCACAACCACAACTTGACCGCAGAAAAAACTTCCATGAGATTAGAAGCTGTGCGGTTCCCATACTTTGTATCTTTATCGATCTGCGACATTCATTGTTGATTCTACGGAAGTCGACAACCTGGCTCTTCAATCAGCTCAAGTTGGAGGAGGATCTGCGGCGTTAGCCCAAATGGCTAAGCCAGGCGGAGAACCTTTGGAGGAATATGATGAGTATGTGCTGACGGTGATGAGGGCAATTAGACTCTTGGTTTCATTGGATTGCAGGCGCAAATCACTAATACCTTGTTGGCTAGATATGAATCTCTCCCACCCAATTTTTCGTTAATCCAGAATATGACTGCGGGCGCCTTTGCCGGAATCGCGGTACGCTCCTTCAATCCACGGCATTCCTTGCATTCGATACTGATGGACCTATAGGAACATACTGTTATGTACCCGATCGATGCAATCAAGGTATATATGAATTGCCCCTCGGATGAAGTCAAAACCCTGATATTGATATGATGCAGACCCGAATGCAAATTCTCAACCCTACCCCATCCGCAGTCTACAATGGTGTTTTACAAGGAGGATATCGGATAGCTACCGGAGAGGGACTTTTCAGTCTATGGAGAGGCATGTCAAGTGTGGTTGTGGGAGCTGGTCAGTTTGGCTTGATTCGAATAAGCACGGAAGAATACTGATAGTGGTTTAGGACCTGCACACGCTGTTTATTTTGCTACTTATGAAGCTGTGAAGCATGTCATGGGAGGAAACCAAGCTGGTGTTCACCATCCTCTTGCTGCTGGTTGGTTTCTCAAAAAGTCCGATTTCTTAACGTCTACTAATATTGCATAGCTACTAGTGGGGCTTGCGCAACCATTGCAAGTGATGCCCTCATGAATCCTTTCGATGGTATGATTCGCATTTCACATGATTCTTGAATCTTTTTGCTGACATTCTGTAGTTATCAAACAGCGCATGCAAATGCACAACTCGAAAGTTATGTACAAATCGATGATGGATTGTGCTAGATACGTTTATCGAAGTGAAGGTCTTACCGCATTCTACGTTTCTTATCCTACCACCCTGTCCATGACAGTTCCTTTCACCGCTCTTCAATTCCTCGCATACGAATCAATGTCGACTTTTATGAACCCTACTAAAAAATACGATCCATGGACCCATTGTTCAGCGGGTGCGGTTGCAGGAGGTTTTGCGGCTGCTCTCACAACACCCATGGATGTGGTAAAGACTTTATTACAAACTAGAGGAACAGCGACTGATGCGGAACTAAGAAATGTCAGTGGTTTTGTGGAAGGATGCCGGGTTATTCATAGAAGAGCAGGATTTGGTGGATTCTTCAAAGGTGTTAAACCAAGAGTGGTTACCACTATGCCTAGTACCGCTATTTGTTGGTCTGCATATGAGGCTTGCAAGTGAGTATTTCCATGATTTGGAATTTGCGATTTGGAATTTAAACTAACAAAAGCACCAGGGCTTATTTTATCAGGCAAAACAATGCCGAACTTTAAATACTTTGGTTCAACGACGCCTGTAGCATTTCCTGCAACATTCCCCTTAATGAGCGAGATTCCGACTGCGGCTATGCGATACCACACGAATGCATTTTAGCCGGAAATAAAGCTGCAGTCACATGATATGATTTTGTGCTTGTGAAAGCGATCGAACATGATTTACAACAGTTGAGCTTTATATGATGTTTCAACCTGCCATGTCAAGCTTAACATCGATATTTGCGAGTAGTGAATGGATGAGTATCGTTGGTCGATCTGTACATAGAACACCTTTTTTCTTTTTTTCTTTCTTGCTTTTAGATCTCTTCGGTTTTTGATGGTACACGATATGCGTGCATGCATGGAAGGTTTTGATGAAATTCTTTGGGAAAGCCATTGAAGACAGGAGACATCGATGTTATTGATGGAGACGTTCGTGAATGAACTTTGGCTGGCGTTCATCTAGCGATGGATGGATATGCTAGGTTGGAGGGTGGGCGGTGTTCAAAAATGAAGGGGGTGGGTATGAAGAATACAGCTGGATGAAAATCAGCTTTAGAATGGATGGTCAGTTTGGGTATCTACCCGGTGGATGTATACTGGCGTGTAGGGAGTGTATTTATACAGAAAGGAAATTCATTTGGAGTGATGAGTGAAGAAAGAAAAGATAAGACAAGAGAAAGTGTTCGTTCCAGTTGCGGCTTCAAGTTGTGATGTGTGTGATGTGATAAGTGGAGATTGTACGTGGGCTGGTCATGATACATGTAATTTTCTGTCTGTGAGGGTGGAAATCTTTGAGTGCAAATGATTTGCAGTGTTGATTTACAGAGAGATGGGGAGTTAGAGGGAAGAGGGAAGGGAAGAGAAGATATTCCAAGCTCTTTCGTGTTTTTGGGCGGGGTTCGGCGCGGCATGGAGGGGAATTCCGGAGTTCCTGGAGGATAGGATGGACAAGTGTTTATTTTAATGTTCCTAGTGGAAATGTTAATGCTTAATGGCTAAGCTAGGTAGGGGTGTAGGGTGTGGGATATTTGTATACGAATAGTTTGATCAGATCGGGCAAGCGAGGTCAGACTAGATATGGGAAAGAGAGGAAGTATGGAAAGGGGGTGGGGAGGGGGGAGAAATGACCGATTTTTAAAAAGCGGTGGAGAGAAATTAGAGGTGGGCGGTGGGTGTACGGCTCTGGTAGTTCGGGGTGTCTATATATATAGATGGTGGTTTTTGGGGTACGAATACGGTGGTCTATCTGGGAATCTTGAGGGGCTATAGTTGATGGATGACCTTACATTTATATAGGTGTCTTTACTTACTCGTTGTCTCTGCAGGAATTTACTATTTGCAATTTTATTGCATTTTCCCATTTCAGCATATATGATGGTGATGTATATGAGTTGAGATAGAACTATGGCAAGTAGCTATATACCCTAATGACTAGGCGAAATGAATCGTTTTTCCTGAATTCGAATCGAGTTGAATTTGCCCATCTTTGGAAAAGAGCGAGTTCTAGAAAGCGTGTCTCTTGGAAAATAGAATGAATGGGCTAGGGATTATTGATATTGGATGTAGATGAGTTCTGCTGATTTCAAGGAAAGCCTTATTAGTGTCCAGAGTTTGTTTACCCATAGCATCACTTTCCCGTGACTGAAGCTACGGTACAGTGCTTCTCTTCATGTGCATTCAAATAAAGGATTATGGAGAAGATTTAAGCCAAAGGAAACGTCTAGAATAACTACATTGAGAGTTTTCATTGAGCAGGTACTCATCCATAACAAGTCAAAAGAAAATTGTATGTCTAGTCCGCCGTCAAATCCAGCAACCAAATCAACGTTCCAGTAGCATCAAACTCACCTCATACCAACACCCGATCAAAGAAACATCGAAGCACATCTACAACCCTTCATTCGTACTAACTCTAGTTTTCAATCTAATCTTCAAATCAAAATCCAACCGGTAATAGATCGAGCATGTCATATCACGTTACAACCCCCCGACTCGTCACCACTCATAGTTTCTTCAAACGTAAATATGGATATCTAGACCGGTCTCCGAAAATAGAAATGGAGAAACGAGAAAATAAATAAATGCGCAGCGAGAATAGATTTCGGGTGCATTAAGATAGTGTACACTTACGCTATCAAAACATAGATGAGGGCATGCGAGTTGTAGATGAGAGAGGAATAGAAATGGAGAAATGTAGAGGTAAGAGAGTGATAGGAAAGGAGATGGTAGGTGAAGAAAGGGAAGAGAAGAGGAGGGGAGGGAGGAGATGCGGGAGATATTATAGAGGGAAGAAGGAGAGGAGAAGGAGAGGATAGGAGAGGATAGAGAGTTTGGGAGATTGAGATTGAGATTGATGAGGGGGGATTGGGAGGAGGGGTTTCGGCGAGGGGGGGATTTTGCAAGTGTCGATTTGTTGGGTTGTGGGATTTGAAGGTTAGAATGATAGATGACATCCAAGCTTAAACTCTACTACCGATGTAGTTGCATATTTTATAAACAACTGCTTGTTCCTCGATGACTTCATTTTATATTCCAACTACATTTTTCTGGTCCATCATACATAAACTAGATGCCAAAGAGCCATTCTAGATATCTGCGTCAGTTCAATCACAAGACATGGATGACTCGAAACACATAAATTTCGACTCATTCATACGACTATGAATCAAACCAAGAATGAAAATATTCTCAGCGCAATTCTTATGTCAGAGATTTATTGCGCACCCATTATCTGTTCAATTAAGGGTCCATTCTCCCCTTTTCATGCTCTCAATTCTTCTTTCTCCTCATCCACGTCAAGATCAAAGTTTCATTGAATTCCAAAGATTTTCCCACCATCACAGTTCCCAATCTTGAATATTGTCAGTACGGAATCCGGTGACCAGACCGTCATCTACATTACATCATCTTTGTCTCAAAATTGTCATAAAAATAAAATCAGTTTCTAGCATCCAACTCGGCATTCAAACTTGAACCAAAACACGTTCAACAGACTGTTGAACCCACCTTATCCAAAATTGCCATTTCGCTCGGCTTCAAGCTCCGGCCGGACGCACTCCAGTGCAGGCGCCGGCTCGGATCGTATGTTCTTTAAAGTAGGCTCAAGTGAAGCTTCTACTAGATTGGGATCAAGTCGTTCGTTAGCGAGCACGAATCCAAGTCGAGTATTCTCCAACTCAGGCTCGACTCGTTCACCAGCAACCACACATTCAAGCCGCACATCTAGCCGCTCAGCCTCAAAGAAAATGTCCTACGGCTCAAAATCAAGCGGAACATCATCGGATTCAGTCTCAATCAAATCAACGGCTGACGAATGGGGACCTTACATTGATACTAGAAAATGCGCACACAGAGAACATGATCAACTGGGCTGGGCTGGCCCAAGACTTGGAGAAGATCCACTAGTAAAAGCATGTTCTGATAAGAAGAGTGATCAAATGGAAAGGAATGCTAAGGCGGAGAGGAAAGGTCAGTCGAAGATGAGGAAGAAGGAAGGTTTTTTTTATTGAGGATGATATGACATAATTTGTATTTGTAGAGGATGATGGAAGGTGTTTAGATCTACTAGGTAGAGAATAGAAATCGACTAAGTCAGGTACCCTACTTTCGGACCACCCCCCTTTTAAGCCACTTTTTACACCAAAATGGAATTTTTAATTCTTTTATTTATAAATAGAATTTATTGGAAATTTGTATATATATAATTCAGATTATTTTAAATCTAATCTGAAATTTTTAGATTTTTAGGATTTTTTATATTGAAATCTGAAGCTTTAAAATATCGATTTTTAAATTTGTATAAGAATTATATATGAATTTGAAACTTTTATAAAATCTTTAATAACTTTTTAAAAAAATTATTAAAAATAAATTACGAAGTTTTATTATAAGTTTATAATATATTTATTTTGAAAAAAAAAAATAGAAAACTTCTTATAAATAAATATTTAAAAGAATATTCTTAAAATTACAAGAATTATTTATATTACTTCAAACTCATTATATACTATATCTTTATATCTATTAATTTTTTAAAAAAAAAAAAAAATTAAATTTCTATATAAATTTAAACTTAAAACTTTCAAAAAGATATACACTTTTCTTTTAATAATTATTATTAAAAAATTATTAAAGATTTTATAAAAGTTTTAAATTTATAATGTAGTTTATTAGTGAGCAGGTGTTACGACGGCATTGTTACGGGAGCTGCCTCTAGGGTCACGTGGAAGTGTCTAGAGTTCTCTCGAGGTGGTTTAGACTAGACTTCAAGTAGGAATTCAATAAGGTTGTAACTGGTTGCAATTCTCGTAACTATAGTAATGAAACTAATGATTGTTCTTGAGCACGAAGCTCTACATTGTAATGAAATCTGTTCTCTTATATAGATCTTCGTCCTACTTGGACAGCTGGGACAGCCGGGCGCTTCTGGAGCGCTGTCGTTCCTGAGCTGTCCATCACGGGACACTAATCCCGTGACTCTTGGTGTCCTAGCTTATTCTTTTGTCCTGGGGCTAATCCCCTGGGACATTACTAATCCTAGTGAAGCCTTCTTGCTTACTGTGTTCTGTCTTTCCTAGGACCTATTGTCCTGGGAACTATGTCCTATGTTTCTAGGGTATACTATGACTAATACTATATACGTGCCTGAGGCTCTCCTGGGTGCCTAGCGTCCCCCGGTATACTGCAGCTGAATCACCGAGGCTTATAGTACCATTATAGCCTATACGTTGGTGATTCTACAGCCTGTTACTAATCCGTTGTAACAAGTACTCAACTTATATTACATAACCTTAGAATCTCGTGTCGGTCTCAGAGTGTTCTTTCGAAGATCGCGAGGTCGACTCATAGATCGTCATTCATAAATGGTTATTCAATGAGTGACTTCATGACTGTGCATATTGAATATAGATTTCCAAGACTCATAGATCTAGAGATTGATTGAGTCTCTGAGGGATGACTATGATAGTAAATTGACAGTACTTGTAGAGTAATCATGAATAGTATTTGAATGTAGAAACTCTACATCAATGATATTAAACTATTTATAGTCAAAAGAATAGTAATAATCTTATATAGTAAAATTTCATATAACGTAATTTATTATCGAATAGACTATATCATTAAATGAACTACTATAAATACATACAAAATTCGTTTATACGTAACCATATACTTTCTTTATTTAATAATATCATTTTATAAAATTTGAAATTATGAAATCTAGTTATATAAATATTATAAAAATTTAATTTGCTTTTTAAAATTCTAATTAATATAAGAGTTATTATTAAAATAATATTTTTATAACGAAAATCGTAACAATTTATGATTTTTATAAAATATAATACTAATTTTTATATAAAAACTAAATATTTGTATAAGAAATCTTCTCTTATTAATAAATCTTTTTTCTTTTTTAAAAAATATTGATTAATTATTAAAATGTAAATATTAGGAAAAGGCTAATTTTAGTGTATTTTAAAGTGGCCCACTCAATGATATAGTCTACTCGATGATAAACCACGTTATTAATACTTCAACGACTAATTTGAAAGATTTGAATGATCTGAATGATCTGAATGATCTGAATGATCTGAATGATCTGAATGATCTGGATAGTTACTAAAATCACTACTTGTAGAATTACTAGAATCATTGAATTCTATCAAATCATTAGAACCACTAGAACCATCAGCATCACCAAGATCAATAGTAGCAACAGCAGCACCACTACCACCAAACTAAAATGGTAGCGAATTCAACAACACGTGGTCGAATTTTTGGCAACCAACATTTTTATTTTGTATGAATATTGTATGTTGAAAGTAGGTAGTCATTTCCGTAATGATGTCGCTATGGCCTAATCGATAAGGTTACTAGCGTCAATTCGTAATGTAGTTACACCTCACAAAGGGCACAACCATATTCTAGCTATCTTTAGTCAAACAACAATAAAATGAACTATACCTATAATTCAACCAATTCATCTCCCACTGCGACCATATCTCAATATTGTATTGTTTATTGAATATCCCACAATAATGCCACAATAGTGGTAAATGGTGCAATCAGCGTTGATTTGACTGCTCGTTCTTGGGTGTTTGTTCCAAATGTGGTTCTGGGTGCTGGAAATTTCCCAGCAGGCCGACCAGTCATCTTCACGCGCATACTTCCTCATCTCGATGTGTCTTGGTTTGGTGTAGCTTCTTTGATCAATACTGTATTCAGTATTATAAATGCTGAATGGAATTTGGAGAGAAACCCTGCGCTCGCGGCAAGCATTTGTTCGGTGTTTTCCCGGGTTTGTTTTCTTTATGCGATTTGTTAAGACCAGCCCATAAGACTTCGGTCTGTAGGAAGTGGGAACCTCCTAAGACACCGGGAAAACGGAAAACCCCGGAGAAGGAGGAGTGGGAGTGGGAGTGGGAGAAGGACGATTAGTTCCACCTTTCTCTACTTATAGTGCGGCTTCTTTCAACCTCTTTCTATCCTCACATCTATATATCGACATTTGATATTCGATCGATAACTTCGAATTTCACACCAACGACGAGCTGCTTAAGATATCAAGTTATCAACCTCAAGGCCGGTATCTCTTTCACTACCAAGACAAGCAAGTCGATGAATGTCTCGTACATACGATCATGGAAATCCACCTAGCCAAAGTCCCATCGAAGGAGAGGATCTGCGGCGTTATCGGGAGAGCAAATCATGGAGCTAGTGACAGACAAGGGGAAAGGATGTCAGGTTATGGATATTGACTAGAAGGGTTGGGAATTATAGTAAAGCAATGTGTTTATAACGGAATCATGAATCATGCTTGGACTTGGAACTCAGAATCGATGTCATTACGACTTCACATTCTCAAGTTATATTTCCAGTCAGGTTTTGAGTAATTTTCTCGAGTCATCTTTTGCAGCGTTTACCGAATCATGCAATTTTGTTATCATAGTCCTCAAATTTTAATTCGAGGACTCATAGACTAAGACGGTTATGGCTATATAAGGGTTGGCTAGTCCAAAATTTCTGATTTGTTTCTCTACCTCCGCGGACTTTCATCGATTTCATGTTTTTGATTTGAACAAAGACATAGCAGCCTACTTTACTTTTGAAGTAAGAATCAGCAACGGAACGGAAAGATGTCTCCCAATCCCCTGTTTACAGGAGATAACTATGATGGTCTTGACGCTGGAAAAGGTCGAGGAACCGTAGGAATGGATTCAAACACACCAAGGTGGTTGGCGAGAAAGACAAGAGGGTTCACTCAGTCCATCCCCAACTGGCCGCAGGCACGAGAGCTATGCTCCATCTACCAGCTCGTATTCCATGGCCCAGTCTGGACAAAGTACGCCGGGTCAATACCTACCTCCTTCAATGCTTAGTAGCCAGGCTTTGCCTAATAGCGTAAGGCAAAGAGTTAAATCTCAGCGAAGCCCAGCATCGTCATCTCCATATCGTGTTGCCAAACGTTATACCACCCATAGTACACATAATGAAGTCAACCATCACGAGAATGCACTAGCTCAACCTCTAGTACAGATGCCCCGATCACCCCCACCTGCGATTGTTGCGCAACCGGCTACTCCTGCTCCAGTCATTAGACGTCCCCGTTCTCTTCCTGCACTCCGTGGAAGCCAGATTGACCCGGGCTCATCATTATCGAAGCATAGAAGCGTAAAATCAATTCGAAATGGTGTTCGCAAAGCTGCCCCAAAAGTTACAAATAGGAGATTTGATCGAGGTGACCCGTTTAATAGACGTGAAAAATCTGGGATCAAAGAAGTAAACCAAGCGAGTTTAGTGGAGACTGGGGAAGAAGACGTTCAAGAATTGGAGATGGGGTTAAGTAGATTGAATATATAACTCCGAAGAACTGCGACAAGCAAGGCAGGAGGGTGGCAGGGAGAATTTAGATGGTAGGAAAGACAAACACGAGTTTAGTGAGGGATAGAACTAAATTACGGGGTTGGGACATTATTGATGTGTCGAGCAGTGTGATGCAACAAGGAAACAAGGGCATAGTGAGTAATTGATAGGCTCAGAAATAAGAATCGGTGATATTATGACTTTACAATTTTTCAATCATCTCTTTGTTCATTTCCATTCATATCTACCAATTATGCACTTCGGAGAGTCATGAAGTATGAAATTTCGTTTACTTAGGAGAGCACTTGTCTCTCTTCTTCTTCTTTTGATATCCTTTTTAATTTACCTGACATGATTTCAGAACTTCATCAATATTGAGATTTATTTCCACAACACACCTTTTTGGGTACAACCTGATAACTTTATCGAATCGACTTTCTACACACAACTCATTCAATACATGTATCAAAGACAGTATTGAAGCAAGAACAAAAATGCCTGGCAATAGTAATGTTGAAAGATTGCTGGACAACATCAAGAGCGATGATGGTCGGTCTACACTGCGGGGAGAAGACGACCAATACGGATACACAGGCCCAAGAAATGAATCTGTCGATCCAAGCTTTAGAAACAAACCTCAAGCTTCAACCATCGAACCTGCTCCCATATATCGAGCCAAGCCGCATGAGTATAAAAAGAGCTCACGAAATGTACCTCCACCTCGACATGAAAACTTCGACCGTAGATCGATTGGTGATTCACGATCTGGAGTCAACCCTCGAAGTAATAATCAAGGTCCACGCTCGCTTCAACAGCTACCCGTTAGTAATAACTCGCCTCGTATCCCATATTACGAAACCGCGCCTCAATCAGCTTTTCCACGCCCATACTCATCTACTTTGCGTAACAGATTTACCTCACACTCCGTTTCACGTCTTCAAATCAGATCCCCAGAGATAGCTCCTGTTTCACATCCAGATACTTTCTCAGTCGCTAGACCTCAACGAGTCCCTGTCGGCGTCGCTTCATACCGAGACACTTATGTTATTCCCACTTTAAATCACACGGTGCAGGAATCATCGTCATTTCCTCAACAAAGCCGCCACAGAGATACCTACTCTACTCGCAAATAGGCTACACAACGGGTACCTGCGGGGCGGATAATGGCCTTGACAGATAATCTGTAGATAATCCATCTGCAGAACGGATAATTCAAAAATCTGAATAGGTAACCTGCAGGGCAGGTACAAATTACCCGCAGATATTCACCTACCTGTATATTATATAATTATTTATAATCTTTCATAATATTAATATAATTTTATAATTAATATAAAAATTAATATAAAATCACTTTTGAACTGGAAAATAATTTGAAAATAACTTCATATTTTAAGCGAAAAAAACGAATATATTCATATAATCCATAAATTATTCATAAATAATCTATATATTCGTAGATAACCCATATATATTCACGAATAATCCATTTATTCATAAGTAAATGGATTATCTATAAATAATTTATGGATTATCTATACGGAGTAGGTAATTTTAAAGCTTCAATAAATAATCCATAAAGCGGGTAGAACCTCTAATAGATAACCTGTAAAGCGGATTATCCGCAGATAATCCACGGATACAGATAATTTATGCGCAGCCTACTCGCGAAGGATTAGTCCAAAGAACCATAGCCCAAGAAACCCGAAGAGCTGGATTTAGAACAGCTGAGGAGAATGATGCGTATGGAAGATACTTGAGAAGTGGAGGCCAATTAGACAGCATTGGATCTGGAACGGGTAATTTTTCGAGAATGGGCATGCCATACGATAAACCTGCAAGGGAAACGTGGGCAAGAGATATGTGGGCAAGTGAAATGCTAAAGCAAAATGGTTTAGAATGAAGGAAAGACATTTATTCGAGGGAGGGATAGAGAGGCAAATATCGGAGTTGATGGCAAGATGTGGCAAATAACGCGAGGCTGGAGATATAGAACCTGTGAAAACCAAGAAGTGGTGAATGGTACTTAGATATATGAATCTATAGCGTTGATGTTACACACTGGTGTGTCTGTGACTATACAGCTGAAGATTCAAAATATGATGACACTCATATTTTAATTAATCACATCGAAACTCGCGGAGTTTTAAGTAATTACTAAATCTAGCTCTCTTGCTATCGAGGTCATTGAACATACTGGATCGCCATTGACCTTAAACTTCTTTATCAAAATTACTACTTTTGAATTATTTGAATTATTTGAATCTTTTAGGGTTCTAAAGAAAGGAAAATTAAAGACTAAAATATTAAAAATACTAATCAAGGTAGATTAGTTAATGTAGTTTATCAGTGGGTCGGTTATATTAATGGATCGGCTACTTTTATCTTGAATTATTATTCTATATTTAATATACATTTTCTTTATAATTAATCATGAAAATTTATTTTAAAAAAGTATATATAATCTTAACTATTTAAGCTATTGAATTAAATAAAAAATTATCAATTCAAAAAACAGCTTAGCTTTATTATATACCTCAAATTACATTAAATAATAGAATTCGAAATAAACCTAATATAATTGAAAGTCAATCAAAAAGTTATAATTTAATTGAATTAGAAGAAAAGATATTTATTTAATATATTCTTGATATAAATTTAAAAGGTTTTCTATTTAAACTTAAGAATATAAAAGATATAGCGAATTATATTCTCGAATTGAAAAGTACGAAATGTATTGGAAAGCTTTAGATATATCGATTTATAAAGTGTTGAATTAAATTAAAGATATGTTTTAATTATATTTATAACTTTTAAAGAGTTTTCTACAAGGATCCTAAGTTTATTAAAGAGTGATTTCGATTAGTTACAAATATACAAACGAAATATAATATTTTGAATAGAGATTTCTATAATTTCAATGAAATAGGTTTTATAATGAGAATTATATACATAATAATAATTATTACTAATACTGAGAGATATAACAAAAGTAAATTTATACAACCAGGCAATCGAGAATGGGTTATAATAATAATATATAAAAATAGAAAGGGCGAAACTATTCCTTTATTTTTAATGATTTAGGAATAGATCTATCTCTTCAATTAGTATATTAAAATCAATCTTCTTATGAAATAGGCTATTAAACTTATATCTAATAAATGAATAAACAATGAAACAGGCTTAGAATGATTAAAATACTTTAATAAATATATTAAAAATTGAAGAAAGGACAAATATCGAATATTAATACTAAATAAGTATGAAAGTTATAAATCAATAGCTTTTTAAGTATATTATAAAGAGAATAATATTATATATTTATGTTTATTATTATATTCAAATTATTTAATTCAACTATTTAATGTTAGCTGTTTTAATAATCTAAAATGTTTATATAATAATTAAATTAATAGATTTATTAAAACATATATCAATTATATTTCAAAGATTGAATTCTTTATAGCTTTTAAAACTATATATAAAGAATCAATCACCTTTTAGAATATAAAATCAAGATTTCGAAGAACAGATTTAATCCTATTCATGTTACGAACAACGCAACATAGGCACGGGACTGGGCACTAAGTCACGTGGTTGGCTCAGTCTGCCTCAGCGGGATAGACACTGAGCCATGAAAGTACAAACAAACTAGTACTAAGCTGTATTAATCATACTGAACAAGAAGGTCTATATAAAGGAATAGGTTTCATTATAATATAAAGCTTTATATTCAAAAACAATTATTAGTTTCATTACTATAATTACGAGAATTACAATCAATTACAACCTTATTGAATTCCTACTTGAAATCTAATCTAAACCACTTCGAGAGATCTCTAAACACTTCCACATGACCCTAGAGGCAGCTCCCGTAACAATTCAATCTTAAAGTTGTACTCTCGAAATTAGATATTCGAATTTATATATCTACCCCCTCCTTTTTCAATTTAGATTAATAAATCTTTCAAACCTCTTACAATTTAACTGAAACTCTTTTTCAATCAATATTAATTAAATCTCAAATAACTCATTATTAAATAAACTCCCTTACACCTATATTTAAGATTATACTAACTCTAATTAAAAATACAGAAAAATTAGCTTATAAAAATATACTTTTAAATATAAAGAATTATATACTTTAGACAGTAAATAAAGCATTAAGCAAACATTGATACATAAAAAAAACCTAATTATATTAAAAAGAAATGTTTACTAAACAAAAGGCTTTTAATATATTATCTTAGTAAAAGGTTAATATTCAGATTTAATATAATAAATATTAAAAAGAGAGAAATTCTAATAGAAAAGTATTTTCTAATTGATATTGTAATAAATACGAAAAGATAGATTATAATATAAAAATCTATTAAAATAATGTAATAGATTTTAAATTATTAGATTCTTAATAATTTTAATCAATTGATTTAATTGTTGTTGAATAATATAGCTTTGAAGTGATAATTCAAGGTAAAAGTAGCCGATCCACTGATATAACCGATCCACTGATAAACTACGTTATAAATTTCAATATTAAAGGTATTAATGCATGAGATCTTACTACATGAGGTTATTACTGTTAACCTTATTTATATTTGGAATAAACTGTGAATGAATTGAAGTGTTATAACAGTTCTTGTAGCAAGTATAAAACATCACCGATTGTAACTTTTAAAAATACAAATCCTATTATCCTATTCCTTCCTTCCTTCAGACTTCTGAAATCCTATTCCTCTACAATATATCTTAGCATGACTAACCTGGCCACCTCATTAAATGTTATAGGTCGGAAGAAACGAAAATTCAGGATAGTAGACAGGGGTCTGATAACGCATAGCATCCACATTATTATTGTGTCTCTCCACTTGCAAAGCAAGTTCCCGAGTAGTTTCAGTAAGCTTTTCAATTACCCACAATTTGTCCCTTTCAAATTTTGAAATTTCCGTTTGTAGGGAATAAACGGGTGTGTGCGAGCAATAGAAAGGAGGTGCTGGGCAGTACGAAGCATGTGGTGGTTCCTGTGGATATCTTGGAGCAGGTATTGGTCCTAGCGGAAGTTGACCCGGAGCCCGAGGACCTTGAGATTGGTGGAGGTGGAGGTAGATATTGAAGTCAAATATCAGGCCTACGAGAGGATTGTCTTGATCGCGTTCGTTTTTGCCTCTCGCTGCGATGTCCATCTGTGCTCGCAGTACGAGAACTTCTAGATGAACTGCCGGAACTCGATTGCGAATATTCTGATCTCGATTTGGCATGATGTTTTTGTGCAACTCGCGTTGCGTGATCAACGCTTTGCGGCACGGATGAAAACTTTCGCTTTGCTTTTGATTCATGCATGTGAGATTCTATAATAAGTATACTAAATCACTTATTAATATCTTACTAATCAAGCTATATATGTATTAATAATATAAGTATAATATGATTTTATATTATAAAATTATATTATTATATTATAATATAGCTATATCTCTTATCAAATTGATTTATAATGAAATAGAATAAGATGAAATTATATGGAAGATTATTAATAAATTAACTAAATTAATTGGTTGTATTTTTCTTTTATAATATAAAATGATTCTATAAGATTCGATTCAAATCGATCTTATTTATAAGCATAGAAACTATTAAAATTTCATTATAAATTATATAAACCTAGGATATTCTTTAAAGAAAACCTAGGAAAAAGCAAGCAAATTCAGCTCAATTAAGCTCTTTCTTATAATTTGTCTTCAATTCAACTCTTATATTATATTCGATTTGTCCTTCAAGCTAAAGTGACTAAGTCTTCTACTATTACTAGAATATTATTATTAATATTATATTCTGGAAAATTACCTCCAACAATGCAAAACGAGTTTTCATTGTAATTGCCGCTTCGCTTGGTTGCTCAAATGGCACCAAAGCTTGTTCTTCATGTCCATATGGAACTACAGCTTGGTGCCACGATTCTATACGGGAGTGTTGGGTAGTCGGGTATTCTGAAGCCCCTGATTTCTTTGTAGATGTGTACTACTGGAAGCCACGGGTCCGCATTCGGACGCATGTACAGAGGTAGGAGCTTTAGAGCTGGAACGTGCTGATCTGGGGGCTCTATGCTGGCTACTCGAACCCTGAGCGCTGCTGGAAAATCCACTGAGAAGTCTCGTTAGTCGGCTTGGCTTACTTGAAGCTACAGATCCACTGCTGGATTGTGCATACGTGCTTGTACCGCTGGGTTGTCTTTTCTTGTTATAGTCATCCACAAGTGTGTTGGTAGTTTGGGTCTTGGGATCTTGAGGCTTATGTTGTCTGTGTGAAGTTGATGAACTCCTAGAAGATCCATGTGTGGACGATTTAGCTATTGTGCTGGACACATTTGAGGCTGCTGATTGTACTGATTCTGGATGGTCTCCACGCTTGGGCCTGGAGGACTCTCCTACTGTAGACATTTCGCTTGGATGTTAGCTTTAATGTTATGGTTGATTGCGAAAGTCTTGTTCTTGATGGAACTCTTGATGCTGGTTTTCAAAAAGGAAGGGAAAAGCAAAGCTGGAGATAATGGGGAGTTGAACGTTTGAATGTCTAAATCAAGTGGAGAATTTCTGAGCCTTGAGGTTCATAGACTACTGAAATGAGTAATGAAATCTTCATAGAGTTATGATTCCGTTTCAAAAAATTCGACATGAAATGACTCGAGTTCAATTTAGGTGCACTGAACATGTAGAGAGGATTCAAAGCTTGCGACTTTCTGAAATTTATAGACCACCAGTGGGTGCATGGACTGACAGGACACCTCCCAGTTACGAAATTTTTAACAAATTCATTCTTCAATTGTTTGATATCAGAATACATCATTTGGGGTTTCCATTTCTAATGAATCAGTGTAGGAATTCCTAAGATATGCAATTTGATATTTCAAGAAATATTCACAAGTCCATGTGTGCAGTGACCCGTCAGTCCGTACACTCATTGGCGGACTAGTGATATAAATAATCGCAAAGTGATCATGAAGTAACGAGTCGCTTCCCCGAATTTCCTCTCATGACTGTCGATGTTATTGTATGCGGGGTTCACAAGTTGAGAGGGCAAAAAAAGGAGTTCAAACGCTCAATAATAAGGGAAAATATCATAGAGGTGTAATATCATCGAATTATTGTCTAAGACTAACTGCCATTTCTCAATTCCATAATTCATTTTTCAACACGGTACCTATTCTTCTTCATTACATGTTGAATTCCCTTCATTGCCTGCTAATACGATGATCTTTTGCATTTTCAATTCTCATGTAGCGATCCAATGATCTCATTCTGGTCCGAACAATGGCTAATGACCTTCGCTTTTCCGACGTCTCATCACAGTCTACTATGGGTCGTTCCGGAGGACAAGCTATGGCCCATGGATAATCCAACTCTGTGGGATCCCCCCTGAGGCACAGAAGCTCGTTCAAATTTGAATCATAATCATAAAATTGGTATTGCGACATAAAATAATGAGGAGGTCGGCATGCAAAGCGTTCTGGAATGCGTGAAATCCGATGTGAATTTGGTCCCTCATACCCCACAAATGGAAAATTTTGTTCCTCGGGCTGCCCAGAATCATATCGTGACCATGAGTTTCATGATGCTCATGCTGATGATAAGCATTGTTTAGGTATACAAGAGGGGGAGGTGGTGGTGGTGGTGATGGTGGTGAACTCGATTGATATTGAGCCTCGTGTTGATTCTGGGGCGCAGGTTCCACATCCGACAGCAATGTTGCCGTAGACCACGTATCGCTGTCAGCGGATTCCTGGTCTGTGTATTGATCTTCCTCTTCGCTGACCTGAGTTTCGGGTTCGACGGACAAAGCTTGGGACGCGGTATCTGAACCAGGATCAGCGAATGTCGCTCGGGCTGAGTGGCGATCATTTACTACATGGAACGACTTGCTACATGGACCGTCATAATCCTCAAAGCAATCGTCAGTTTGCACGATGGCCTTCTGCTTTTTGGGTTTTCTAGGAGTTTCGTTTGAATTTCTTTGACCATTTGGGTTAAGGGTCATTGTATTTGTGTGGTATTGATTTGGATTCTGGACGTTGATGAGAAGTTCTGGGTTTGATGGCTGTTGTTAATGAAGAGAAGCAGAAATTAACAGAACTTGGAGGGGATACTGAAAGTTTAAATGAACAGAGGCTGAAGGATTTGTGACTCCTCAAAAGCAATACATTTCAAAAATGAATAATCGAAACACTAATGAAGTCATATATATGACACACTTCATTTTTGTAAAGAGTTAGGAGAGTCAGAAAAGATTCAAAAAATTCAAAAAATTCAAAAGGTACACATACAACAGTAGGGATTCGCTGGTGGTCACCCACCCAACTACTAATCTACCGATCTGAAGCTTGTGTATGGCAGAGCGGACGGGATGCCCAATTCTCTTCAGTCTATGGTCGTATATGTCAGTACTACGGTGCTGGGGAGTTATATAGGGAGTGTGAATAAGGGGGGAAGGGAAGAAGGAAATGTGAGAGATTTGGTTCATTAAGTCAGATTAGAATGGAGCTTTTGGTGGGCGGAGAGTAGCAAGTTGACTATGATAATGAACTTGCTTTCCTGGTGAGTTGTTCTATCGTGGGAGAATGGTGGTCACAGAGGTTGAGGAGGGTGCTCGCAGGATGACAAACGAAGACTCATTTTCGTATGGTACTAGCTATACATTCTTTTATCAACCTGCTTAATCAGTATAATACCCACACCACTGATTGAACCAGCCCGATTTATACCAACTTTCTCAAAAGTATCTTCTGCTTAACACACGGCATAATCCCTGCATTCCAGTACACATTTTCTGGTCTTCTCACTCCCTCTGGAAATTTTAACTCATAGCCCTCCAATATCGCTCCTACGACAAGTTTGATTACAACCCCCGCGTACCATCTTCCAGGACATGTTTGTCTTCCATTTCCCCATGCTAAGTTACCAGGTTCTATGCCTGTGAAATCTTGGAGGGGATTAGAGCTGCCTGTTTGTGTTTGGGCGACCGATTGGTAGAAGCGAGAGGGGTTGAATGTGGAGGGAGAGGAAGGTCCGGTGTAAAAGGTGGGATCGCAAGATATTGAGGAGGCAGCCATGGATATGAAGGTACTTCTTAGGAGATGCAGGCCGGTAGAGAGGGTGTGCGGGGTGAGGACATTCCAGTGGAATTTCAAAGTTCCTCTGAGTTTGCATCATCTGTACGAAAGTTAAGAAGTGGACGAACTTCCATAATTTCGATATAGGCATTCGAAGACCCTAGTGCACGAACCGTAAGCTAATAGGTTTTTGAATACTGACACACCAAGCTTTTGATTCAAGGTGATATCTCAAAGATTGCCATGGCTCAAGTGATCGCTATCGGAGCCGCAGAGGCATCCTAAGAACGCGGGATACGTATAAAACGGGCATCTGACCAGTTCTCGAGGTAAGCAAACCTCTAAATTAAAGATGCAATAATAGCTTTGTTAGATAAACTGCCATATGATTACGGAAGACAGGTAGCTATGGTGGCTACGTTAGTATGAATAATAATAACATGATAGATGATCCAGATTCAGTTGTGAAAGATACTCTCCACAGTTCTAAAACAAGCTATGCTTATCCCCTTGAGCTGATATTGGGGGCAGACAAAGAGATCTTTCTTCATAGGAGAATTATAAGCATTTGAAGAAGGTAGAGTGTCTGCAAAATGAGAGTACCTAGGTAGATGGTGGTCGATACTAACTTTCTAGCTAACAATTTCTGCCACCCACCGCCTTCTACTTAAAGTGATCAGGGTTCCCACTTCCACGCTCACTGGATGACGATCCAAAAAGCTCCATCCACACGCGACGCGATTTGATCAGAATTATTGAAAGAGTACTTTCTAGCCTGTCAATCTGGTGGAATTCAGTCTAAATTCTACCATCCTTCACCATCAAATGCTCACTTCATAATTTTATCTCTGTATCCAAAATGCCACTTTCCGATAAAGCTTTGACAAGCGCACTCTCCAAGACTGTTCGCGATGTATTCCACAGCGACGAGAAAGATAAATTAAGTGTACGATTTGTTAGAACAAAAGTAGAAGAAGAATATGAATTGGGGGATGGTTTCTTGAATGAAGGAAAGTGGAAGGAAAAAAGCAAGGGAATTATTAAGAGCGAAGTTGTAAGTTAATTCTGACTTCAAGCGGTTCCGTTTAACAATCAATCCTAATGATCAACTGCAGGACAAATTGATGCAGGGAGATGAAGAGGAGCAAGAGGAGGAGCAAGAGTCTGTAAAGGCAAAGAATACCAAGAAAACTCCTGCGAAAAAAACTACACCTGCTGCGAAGTCAACGAAACGATCTTCGGCCGAAAAGAAGGCACCTCCTCCAAAGAGACAAAAGAAAGAGAAAACTCCTGCTTCTGAATCCGAACTTTCTGAGCCTGCGGAGTCAGAATTATCAGACATTAGTTCCGAAATGGGCGAAGATGAGCCAAAAGCGAAACCAAAGAAGCAAGTCAACAACAAGACTGCCAAAGCTATTTCGAAAAATGAAATCGGCGACAATGAAGATGAGGTAGCACCCAAGAAGACCAAGGAAGCAGTAACGAAAGAAGTGGTCACTTCTGGTTCTGAATTGTCTGATATTGAATCGATCACTCAATCCGAGGCGAAATCTCCTAAACCCTCGTCCCCAAAGATCCGCGATTCATCCTTATCCTCTCTCCCAAAAACAGAAGAAGAAGCCGCGGGCAACGAATCTGACTCATCTGACATGTCTGTTGTTCTCGACGGACCTTTAACCACTAAATCCCGTTCCAAGAAGTCCAAATCGACTTCGTCCAAGCCCTCTAAAACCACGAAGGCCGCGAAATCTAAAGCCGCGAAGGCCAAGACCACGGCAGAACTCACACCTAACGAACAGCTGATTAAGACGCTTCAATCGCAACTCGTCAAGTGTGGAATTCGCAAAATCTGGGCTTTCGAACTGAAGAAATATGAGACGGAAAATGAGAAAATCAAACACTTAAAGAGCATGCTGACGGAGATTGGTATGACTGGACGTTTTAGCGAAGGCAGAGCCAAAGAAATCAAGGAGATGAGGGAATTACAGGCAGATTTGGAAGCAGTGAAGGAAGGCGAGAAAGCATGGGGGATGGGTAGAAGTGCTAGAAGAAGTGGAAGTGGTGTTAAAGAGGACAAGAAGAAGAGTGAGAGTAGTGATGATGATGATGAAAAAAGCAAAGCCGGCAGTACTAAGAATGATGATGAAGAGAATGAGGATGACGATGATGATGATGATGAGGACATGGAGGTGTCTGTTAGGGCAAGAAGAAAGAATGATTTGGCATTTTTGGGGAGTGAGGAGAGTAGCGATGATGATTGAGCGATTCGACTACTGATCTACCTTTTTTTTCAGAGAGTCTGTACAAACTAATAGGGAATCTTGAATGGAAATGAAAATGGGAGTTACATGGTATGAACGTCATGGTTATGATATCTTAAATGCTATTGACGGGTCTGCATTTGTTTATTGCATTGGGATTATAGGATATGATATATCTAATATCAAGTGGTAAAATTGTGACACTTTGCCTTGAAAGAACTGCGAGAGCAGGATACAATTTATCCTTAAAATCTACAACTACAGGATAGAGAGCGGAGCGCTCATTTATACTAGCTAGGTACGTACACGTGAGCGATCGCATTGCGATTGAGTCCGATCCGTGACAAGAATTACACGAAAACAATACAAATGTTTCACCTTGAGCCCTTAAGTCGTTTACATTATATGTACAATAATAACTCTATAACGTCGTTCATATATGAGTGGATTATATCATCGAACGGATTACTTGAAAATATACTAAAATTAGTTATTTTTAATATTCTCATTTCAATAACTAATTATTATTTTTGAAAGAAAAAATTATTAAAAATAATAGTAATAATGAAATATTTATAATATTTGGATTTTTTAAAAAAATCATTTTAGCTTGATATTATTATACTTTATATTATTAAAATCATTTTTCTTTAATAACTTTAATAATATTTAGATTTCCTAAACAAAAATTAGATTTTTAAAATAATAAAAAGAATTGTATTTTATATGAAAGATTCTCGAGTAACTCTATTAGCTAATAAAGAAAGTATATAGTAAGTTATAGTAGTAATAGTAGTAAATTCATAATTAATTTGGTCTATATAGCTATGCTAAGATTATACAATATACTTATATTGTTACAGGAGCTGCCTCTAGAATCACGTAGAAATGGCTAGAGATCTCTCGAAATGATTTAAACTAAACTTCAAATAGAAATTCAATAAGGTTAATAATTAGTTACAATTCTCGTAATTATAATAATAAAACTAATAATTGTTCTTAAGCACAAAGCTCTACATTATAATAAAACTCATTCCTTTATATAGACATTTGTTTTCTATCCTATTCTTTAAAACCTTTATATAGACTGGATCGCTATGGACCTCACTACGCTCCAGGAGCGCTACAATTTCTCGACACTCCGTCACCTGTCCATAGTCATGTGACGCGGTACTTCGTAAGGACCGTCGTAACATATATATGGTTCTAATTGAATAAGGTAGATGGGAAAAGGAAATAAAAACTCACCCTTTTTTGAACTTCCTTATTAAGATTTATAAGCAATCTTTTGAGTAATTCTTTTAAATCCTTTAAGTTGTTTATATTATAAATTTGTTATATTTAAAACCCTTTTTTTTATTAAATCCTCTAATATACTTATAAAAACCCTATGTTTTTTATTTTGTTATAATAATTCTTCTTTTTTTATTCAATTTCTTTCAAAATATTATAAAAGCTGTGGTTAATTATAATATTATATCTCTTTTAAAGGGTTGTCTTCATCCTTTAGTACTTCGAATCCTTTAGAAATCCTATTATAACCTTTAATCCATTACTTATAAACTTTATATCCACCTTTTTCTATAATACATTAATAATATATAATTTTTTTTAAAATTTAATATCTTTTATTCCCTTTCTTTTTACTAGATTACCCTATCGATATAAAACATAATATATTAGAACCTATCGAACCACTCTATTGATATAAAAGATAAGATTGTATTATAGGGCTAAATAGTTGAATAAGATCGAAATAATAAATATGATAGTATTAGAATACTATTACTTTAATAATATACACTTTATTTTGAAGAGTTATTACTTCTTCAATTATAATCAGTAGTATATTATCTGCTATATAAGATGATATTGAAATTAATATTTCATAATAATATTATATACTGATATAAAATGCTATACATTTGAATTAATATATTATAAATATTTTTCAAAAGGTCTAGCTTTTCTTTTCATTATATAGGATAATTATAAGTATATTAATAGAATATCAAATACTATATTGATATATCTCTTATAAAATATTTCTTGAAAAAAACAGAATCTTTTGAAGAGTTTTCATTCTTCATTTTCTTATACTTAAAAGCCTTCTTCTTTATAATTAAAACCCCCTATAAGACCTTCGAGTACTAAAAAGCCCGAATTATTATAAAAATCTATAACTTAATCTTTTCCATTAATTATATTTAATATAATAAGCTTATTGTTAATAATATCGATATTAATAATTCCAATATAAATATACTAAACCCTTCTCCTTAACACCAACAACAATATCTCCCCAACCCAAATAGATATCAATTTAACAATTTCAAAAAAAAAAAATAGAAAATAATATTCTAATTTAAATGTAATAAAGATTAATGGGTTTTTCCAAGAAAATCTTTCCTAAGTTTTTTCGTGTTTTTCTTCTAGTGAGTTATATATAGACGAATTTTATATATAAATTAAGTAATCTATTTAATAATATAATTTACTTATATATGAACTACGTTAGTTATATTTTAAATATTAGTATCTTAAATATTAAAAATCCTATTTGAGATTTAATATATATTAATTCAGATCATTTTATCTTTAAAAGATCGTTATTTTAATTTTTATAAAATAATACTTAAAGATAAATAATGTTAAAAATGTTAAAAATGTTAACGTGTTTTATCAGTGAGTGAATCATATCAGTAAGTAGGTCACTTTCACTTTAATTTATTTATTCAA